AATTGGGATATATATATATATATTAAGACAACTGTATCCTATATGGAATTTTATACTCCATAACTCACTCGCCAATTAATTATATATTAATTGTACGATCTTTTTTGTTATATGCATTATTATTGGAAAAAATCATAATATAATGCAATAATTTGAATTAAATTTTGAATTCAATTTTGTCAATATATCTCGACTTGAAAACCTATTTTTATTAAATCTTCAAATAATTAAAATTAGAAGTTATAATTTTTTACTATATATGAATGAATTAATTATCTAAATTTTGTTTTCAAATTATTCCCTTTTTTAGTTTATTTGTTCCCTATTCTCTTGGATTTCATCATCCTAATCCTCAACGTAGCATAACTATACTATTTAAATATGAAGAATTCAACATGAACAAAATAATAATAATAATAATGTGTAAGACAAGTAGTTGACATTGCCACCTTCAATTAGTAATTTTTATTTTTTATAATCACAGATGTAGTTCAATATACTATTACATTATAGTATTTGTTTTAAAATGATTCATATAAAAACTGAATAAAGAATTTCTTCTTGTCTTTTTTTTGGAAGGTTTGAATAGAGTATTCATTAAATTAAAAAACTTATATTGAGACTCACATTTAAAATAAAAATTACTTGAAACAAGTATAACAAAAGAAGAATGCATTTTTCTCAAACGGGGCCTTAGGCAACCGCGCAAAGGTTGAGCCTCTCATGGTCTTTATAATATTTTGAAGGGGTATAATCGTCTAAGGAAAATAATCACAAAAAACATAGAACATCCATGCAGAATGCAGTTTTGAAAACTAATATCCTAACTTTAATCAAAAGCTCTAATAAATTAAAATATCTATCATTTAAAATTTTATTTATTTTATTATTTATTTTTACCTAACCCACTTATAATAAAATAAAAAAAAAGGTTAAGTGCAACAAATTCCCTTCTAATATAAAAAATGTGCAAGAAACACCCATATTAAAAATTAAGTACATATAAATCCTTGTATTATTAGTCTTTTGAGCAAATTGTCCCCTATTGCATAGATATGTTAAAAAATAGCCCTTGGTGACATCATGATTTTTTAAAAATCCAAAAATACCTTTTTTGAGTGACAAAAATATCTTTATTAATTTTGTATATATTTAAAAGCAAAATGCAAAAAAAATCTCCTGACTAATTTTTTTTTTTGCCAAAAAAACCCCTCTAACTATCCAAGGGGGCTAACATAGTGGATGGGAGTGGTTGAAAAATATTTTTGAGACGAAAATACCCCTATTCCTATTACATAGGGATTATTGCACAAAAACCTCCTCTACGAATTTTTGGAAAAAACCTCATTAAACAAAAAAATTCACATAAACCCCCCCTTAACTATCCAATTTGTTGCAAAGTGATGTTATAATGACTAAAGTGACCCTTAATATAATTTTAATAGAATGGTGCTCCTTAATATTAAATTAAAATTAATACAAACTCATTTTGCATAGTGTTGTTATAAAAATTTTGATTCTTTTTAAACAGTGAGTCTATAAGAAAATTAAAATACCTTGAAACAATTTTCAATTTTTTCTTAAAATTTTATTTTGAAAAATAAAAAAGTACCTTTAGTTAGCTTTTCTTTTCTTTTTTATGATTTAAAATGAAAATATCTTGAAGCAAAATTCAAAATTTTTATTTTTATTTAGCTTTTCTTTTCTTTCTTTCTTTTAAAAAATAAAAGTTTAAGAAAATTTTGAAAATTGTTTTGAGGTATTTTCATTTTGAAAATTTTGAAAACAAATTCGGCTCGAACCAACAATAAAATAGAAAGATAATTCTAAATTTGTAAGTAAATGCAACTTACACAAATGAAAAAGACAATATCAATAGGACCCAAAAAAAAATATATATATATTAAGAGGCATCCCATTGAAATTTTTTCATAGTTTAAGTGAGGGCGTATTCAAAATTTTACAAAATTTATAAATAAATAATGCAAGTAAAAAAAATTCATTGGTAGCCACCCCACTTATCTGTACATAAGTCAGTGCCTGAATATCTCACACTGGGTACGTAGTAGATCATCTCTTTTGGGGACTTGGAGCGGGTTACTCGACCAAGATAAAATATTCCTCTTTTTATGCATGGCCCATATAAGAGACCAAAACATGTAAATATATACATATATGCATGAGTGTATATATATATATATATATATATATATATATATATATATATATATGTTGGTGTATTCAATAAATTAAGGATTAATTACACTCACATTTCTTCAGATTTGCCTTATTGACAGTCAAAATGAAGTTAACCTATTTTTTAACAATGACACCCCTCTAAAAAATTTGAACCAAGCAGGCCCTTAAAAGGTAAAAAATGACTAGATTACCCTTCAATAAAATATTAATTTTAAAATAAAATATCATAATTTTTAAATGACGAAATTACCCTTGTTAGGTTTCTCTCTCTACCTCCCCACTCAAAAACCCAAGACTTTCTTCCTCTCTCTACCCTCTCACCTTCATCAAAAACCCACCACCACCACCACCCGCTGCAACCTCCACCACCCACCAGCATCCTCACTACAATATTAATCACATGTTTGTATTTACATTTCAGAAATAAATTGATTTAGGAATCAAACACATACATACATAGATACACACACATCCCCATTATGTTATCTCCAATCCAATCCAACCTATCTACATCAAGCTCTTCAACAATCCTCCTATATTGGTGAAAAAAATAGCATTCAATCCCTCCTTTTCTCCAATGATCCTCCTCCACACATGCTAACCCGAAACCCTAAAATCAAACCAATAAAACCTAATCAAACCCATTTGGCATCGCGGTGATGGTAGATGAGGTGGTCTGACGGCGGCGGCAATTATAGACAAAGCAGTATGACGGCGGCAAGGAATGGAAGGTCTCGCCGCCCGCTCATTGTCGGTGGCGCCTCCACCATCGCCTCATCTGGTTCGCTCTCTGCTCCAAAGAGAAGAGCACTTTGTTTGTCTGGTTTTGTTTTTTTTTTTTATTTTATTTTTTAAGAAAGATGTGGGTTTCTCTTCAAAACTCTCGGTGTGTGTGTGTGTTTGGAAGCTTTTTTATTTATTTATAATATAAAAAAACTGAAGAAGAACTATATATAAAAATAATTTTAATTTCCATTTATATTACATAAGGATTTGCTTCCAAAATTATTCAGTTTTTCTCTCCATACTAGTAGGATTAAAATGGTTTATATCTTCTTCTTCCCCTCCTCTTCTTCATTCTCTTTCAATATATATAATTATATATGTATATGTTTAAGTATAATTAGAGAATATAATATATATCTATACATATACATACATGTATTCTGAAGAGGTTAGTTTGGTATATTAAAATTAGTTAGAAGGTTAAATTGGTAATTTTAGCACTATAATGGGTCAGTTGACTAGTCAAAGGGCTTTCTAGTCATTTTATCACATGTCAGAATGCTAAGGAGTGTTTTTGTCAATCAGAGCAAACTTGAGGAGGTGTCGTTGTTTAAAAATAGGCTATCTTCTATTTGATTGTTAATAGAGCAAACTTCAGAGTGTGCGAGTGTAATTAACCCATAAATTAATTAATGAGCTAGCTTTAATCAGCAATAAATAAATTAATTAATTTAAATAGCATTAATTCATACCCGTCTTACAAAACTATTGTTTTGGAGAGCTTGTTCATGGCAATGGCCATCTGGCCTATATAGTTGCATGAGTAGGAGGATGCTCAGTGGGTCAGAAACAATTGTTTTGGAGAGAGACTGATTCAGAGTTCTAAGCCGTTGATATAGAGGTTTTTTCGCCTCGTGTTGACTATTATAATCCATACACACTGAACAATTACTCCTCTGTCAATGGTCTAGCTATTTGATTCACGACAATTCAGATCCTTGGTATAGATGTCAATGTAGACGGAGACCTCTTTGGCATTGGACCTCAGCATTATGAGGGTGCGATAATAAATTTGGTGAAATGATTAGGAATTTCTTGATTAGAATTTATTTGAGGAATTAACACATGTTCCCAAAGACGGCACCAACTGATGATACAAAAATTTACATGCTCCGGAACCAGTGGTGATTCCTAGAAGACAAGTCCGGAGTGATTCCTACGAGACAAGAAAAGTGATGACCGGTGTGGTGCCAGCCGAGTACACTCCAACAGTCCGATTGAATATCGGATAAATGATTAAATATGGAATTTATGGCATACCTTTTTAGGTTGACTTAGAAGCATTAACAGTAGTAATTTTCTATCATGAAACAAATTTACTTTCCTTGTCAATTACGGATTTAAGAGTCATTGGAGATTTAAGAGTTATTGGAGAGGGTAATAGTTACTATTTCTATCTCTTTAAGTTTATCCACTCTTTGAATCTCCATGTCACTTGAATTCTTATGTAATCATTGGGGAGGGTAATAGTTGCTATTTTTATCTCTTTAAGTTTATTCCATGTCACTTGGAATTCTTATCGTATCACTTATAGACCTACCATCTTTTTTTTTATTTTTTTATTTAAAAAAAGTTAATTTTTTTTATAACAACACTAGGCCAAATGAGTTTGTATTAATTTTAATTTAATATTAAGGGACACCATTTTATTAAATTTATATTAAGGGACACTTTGCAACAAATTAGAAAAGCAATTGCACGACTCGTCAATAGAATTTTTATTAATTAAAGCATCAAAATAAGCAAAATATTAGCAGTACACACCACCAACATAATTGGAAAAAGCAAGTGACCCTCCGTACTACGACTCTCCCTCCGGTGACAAGAACAAAATTAAGAACGTTAAAAGATTGGGAACCATTTGATAATCGGATGATTCATCAGCTGAGTTGAATTGGGGCGGGAGTGTTTTCAGCGTCGATCGGGCAGCAGACGCAGTCAAGCGGGAGTAGCTTCGGCAAAGCAAGCTTTTTCCGGTGCGTACTGTGTGTCGTCGCCGTCTATAGTGTTCAGCGATGCGTCAGTTCCGTGATGATTGGTGGTGTAGGTGGCGATGGCGGTATAGGGGAATTGAGATTAAGGATGGTGGAGGGGAATTGAGCTTTCGGGCAACTGGACAAGTGTTTTCGACCGTTCAGTATTGTGATCGTTCTTGTTTCAGACCGCTTTGGATCAATTTGTTATTATATCAATTCTTTAGATCTTGTCTGAGAATTGTGTTATATTTTTGGGTTCGCAGGGCAGAAAAGGTTCAATGAGTTTGTGTTCAAGTATGTGAGAATTTGAAAGAAAATACTCAAAACTAGGTTATTCATTTGGGCAAGAACATCCAGGTTGCCAGATTTTGGGACAGACAGTGACGATGGATTGATAAAAGGAATAAACCCATCTTTTTGAAAGGAACAGAAGTGAATCATAAGTTCTTATATGTGATTGAGGTAGGATGAGAATAAATTATGACGGACATTATGAAAATTTCAGACTTGCTAGGTTGTTAATTATAAAATCGTGGCCTAAAAAAATTAGCACTGGTGGTTTTTTTTTTTACAAGGATTCCTTTTTCTATTGCATGTTCGAATAGTTGTCTTCTTCTGTTTAGTCTTGATCTTTTGTAAATCTTTTTCTTAACTCGGAATCAATGAAACATACTGGTTTAATATATATATATATATATATATATGCAAGTGAGAAACATGCTGGTTTAATATTTGATCCCAAAGATGGAACAAATTGTGCATGATTTGTCATAAGAGAGAGTTTGTAAGGCTATTATCTATATTTACAATCAAGTGAGTTTTCAAAATTTTGCTCTTTGAAAACTATTTTGTAGTTTTACGTGTCAAGAGAATTTTAATACTCAAAAAATTGAAAATTGTTCTCTATTTTTATTCTTTGAAAATTATTCTCAAAAATAATTTTATGAGATGCAAATTAAGTAAGACCAAAAATTCTGTAAATTACTTAAATTTATTTGCTATTTGTTAGTGGTAAGGACTAAGGATACCGACCTAAATTATAATAGGTTTGGTTCCCACACTTGAGAAGATTAAAATTGATTAGAAAAGTAAAAATTAGCCACATTAGATTTCTTTTCAATTTTCAGTTTTTCACGCTTTAGGTAATTGAAATGTATAAAAAGGAAATTAGATTCCAAAATACAGATATTTGCACTTACATTTAACGCCTCTCAACTACACCTTGAAAGTTGAGCTTAGAATATTTGTGAGACAATTGTAGAGCATGATAGACTTTGTTCTGTTCTGTGTTGTTTTGTTCTAGGCCCGCTATAGTAGCCCAAATTCGGTCCAAAACATGTTTGGTCGGTTCTGTTTTGTTTTCAACAGTTACTAAACATTCCAATTAATTGGCCCAAAACTTGAAACACCGAAATGATGTTTTATGATGTTCTGTGTGCTGTTGGCCCAAGTCTGGTACTGTAGCGGAAGGAACAAACCCAACTTTTCTCTCTCTACAACCTTCAGATGCAACCTCTCCGCACCAGCCACGGTCGCTGACCTCGGCCCCGGCTTTGACTTCCTTGGTTGCGCCGTTGATGGCATCGGCGACTACGTCACTTTGCGAGTCGATCCCGACGTCCATCCTGGAGAAATCTCCATCTCCGAGAAACTCAGCAAAAACCCTCTATGGAATTGTGCCGGAATCGCCGCCATTTCCGTCATGAAGATGCTTAACATTCGATCGCTGGGCCTTTCTCTTTCCCTCGAGAAAGGTTTGCCGTTGGGAAGCGGCCTCAGATCCAGCGCCGCCAGTGCCTCCGCGGCAGCAGTCGCGGTGAATGAGCTTTTTGGTGGCCCGTTGTCTGTGTCGGTTCTCGTCCTTGCTGGACTCTAATCCGAGTCCAAGGTCTCCGGTTACCATGCCGAACCTCTGTATCAAAGTATGGAATGTCTTGGTTCAAAGCAGGTACTTGATTCTCATCTTCGCCGATTGTCTCTTTCTTGTCCACATCCAACACGATATCTCTGCAACCCATTTGAGTTCAGTGAAAATTTCGTTACCCAAATCAAAACCAAGATGAAAATTCACAAAAAATTCAAACTCACCTGCCCATGAAGACGTCCATATTGCAGCTCCAACAACAAGAAAGTAAAATGCATACTGTGAATTCAAAAAGAAACCAATAAAATTACATTTTGGTTTTGATTACAAACAAACCCACCACCACATTCTTTAACTTTCTCTCTCTAAAACTTTGTATCTCATTTCTCTCTCTAGAATTTACTCCCAATCCTATTTGTTTAACATGTCCTGTAAATAGAGAAGTTTTTTACAGTGTTAGGTGGTTTCTTCGGCTGCTTCTTGTGTAAAACAGACACAGAAGTCTAGAGAGAGAAAGTTGACGGAAGAGAGAGAGAGGGTGAGGCACTGGATGTGAAACGAAATATCTTCCAAATATGTTCTGCCATTTTTCTGCTCCAAAATTCTCGCTGAAAATTTTAATTTTTTTGTTCTCGTCTCAGAATACCTCTGGTAACAAAACATTTGTTCGGTTATACCATAAAACAAAACGTCCGAAAATACAACACATATACTTGTTTAGTTGCTATGAAATTTTATTAATTTATTTTATTTTAAGAAGGAAAAAAAAAGTCATTAATGTCAACTCATTTTATATAAAATGCCCATGCATCACTTTTATTGATATACTTTCTTATAAGAGGAATAATACATCAAAGCATAAAAATTCCCAAAGTGCAGTGCATGTTCCTCGGGAGCAAATTCTCTGATCTTTTGAAAATTTGTAAGCTTGAGTTCTTCAACATGACCTATACTTGGGATGGGTTGGCTAGCCTCAAATTCTCCGCTCTTTTGAAACTTAATAAGCTTGAGTTCTTTAACATGACCTATATCTGGGCTGGGTTGGCTAGTCTCAAATTCTCTAATCTTCTTAAAGTTTACAAACTTGAGTTCTTCAGCATGACCTATACTTGGGCTGGGTTGACTAGCCTTAAATTATCTAATTGCCCGAAAATTTGCAAGCTTGAGTTTTTTTATCATGACCTATACCTGGGCTAGGTTGGCTAGCCTTAAATTCTCCGATTTTTTGAAAGTTTGTAAGCTTGAGTTTTTCAGCAAGACCTATACCTGGGCTGGGTCGGCTAGCTTCAAATTCTCCTATCTTTTGAAAGTTTGTAAGCTTGAGTTCTTCAACATGACCTATACCTTGGCTAGCCTCATATTCTCTAATCTTCTGAAAGTTTACAAACTTGAGTTCTTCAGCATGACCTATACTTGGGTTGGGCTGGCTCTCCTCAAATTCTCCAATTTTCTGAAAGTTTACAAACTTGAGTTGTTCAGCATGACCTATACCTGGGCTGGGTTGGCTCTCCTCAAATTCTCCAATCTTCTGAAAGTTTGCAAACTTGAGTTCTTCATCATGGCCTATACCTAGGTTGGGTTGGCTAGACTCAAATTTTCCAATCTTTTGAAAGTTTGTAAGCTTAAGTTCTTCAGCATGACTTATACCTTAGCTAGCCTCAAATTCTCTAATCTTCTGAAAGTTTGCAAACTTGAGTTTTTCAGCATGAACTATACCTAGGCTGGGCTGGCTCTCCTCAAATTCTCCAAATTTCTGAAAGTTTGTAAACTTGAGTTCTTCAGAATGACCTATACCTGGGCTGGGATGTCTCTCCTCAAATTCTCCAATCTTCTTAAAGTTTGCAAGCTTGAGTTCTTCATCATGACCTATACTTGGGCTGGGTTGGCTAGCCTCAAATTCTCAGATCTTTTGAAAGTTTGTAAGCTTGAGTTCTTCAGCATGACTTACCTTGGCTAGCCTCAAATTCTCTAATCTTCTGAAAGTTTGTAAACTTGAGTTCTTCAGCATGACTTATACCTGGACTGGGCTGGCTCTCCTCAAATTCTCTAATCTTTTGAAAGCTTGCAAACTTGAGTTCTTCAGCATGACCTATACTTGGGCTGGGCTAGCTCACCTCAAATTCTCCAATCTTCTGAAAGTTTACAAGCTTGAGTTCTTCATTATGACCTATACCTGGGCTGGGTTGGCTAGCCTCAAATTCTCCGATCTTTTGAAAGTTTGTAAGCTTGAGTTCTTCAGCACGACCTATACCTGGGCTGGGTTGGCTAGCCTCAAATTCTCTGATCTTCTGAAAGTTTGTAAGCTTGAGTTCTTCAGCATGACCTATACCAGGGCTGGGTTGGCTAGCCTTAAATTCTCTAATCTTCTAAAAGTTTGCAAGCTTGAGTTCTTTAGCATGACCTATACCTGGCCTGGGTTGGCTGGCTTCAAATTCTCCAATCTTTTGAAACGATTGTTGATCAAGGAAGAATGAATTTGGGGTATTGAATAGGCGAGCTGCACTCACACAGCTACTTAGTAGCAGAGGAAGGAGAAGAAATGAGCAAAGGAAGTACTTTGGACCTCTTACCATATTGGACTTGGGTAACAAGCGCGTAGTGGGCATAGTGCGCCTTTTCCATACATGGCCCGGTGACTCACACTAAGAACTACATGCTTGGACTGCAGCGGCAGAACCGACGGAGGTGAGTCGGGCTTACTACCTGTGGTGTGGACCTTGATGTTCGAGTACTCTTCAAAACCATAGATTTTGGCTTGGGTAGTACAAAACCACCAAATACTATAAATACTACCTCCGTCACATATTAATAATCAGACTTAGATTCTTTAGTGCGGAGGAGATTATAGGACAAACTTATGCCTTAAAATGCATAGTTGGCAACAATTTAAAACTAATTAAGGCAACATTTGCCTATTCCTTTAAATACAATATATTAATTCAATTAGATTTATAAACTATATTAAGGTAACATTTTTATGCACGTCTGTTACAATTAATCTAAATTTCAAATAATATTTGCTTTATTCCCTTCATGTGTCATTAGTGATAATTCGAAATTGAGGTTGGAATTAATTTTCCATCTCTATTTATTTCAATTGCATTCTTCTTATTTTTTTTTGAATTATATTTTCATCAATAAATATACCAAGACTAATATTGTACAGAAAATTATATTACAATTAATTTAATATTTTGTTTTTCAATTTTAGCTACATATATAGTTCAAGTTTGTCACCCTAGCTAATTCAAAATTTTTGGCTCCACCCACAGATTGGGATTTATGAATATTAAATACCCCTCTGTCACATATATATTAATATTCAGGCTTGGATTCTCTCGTGTGGAGGAGGTCATGGGATAAATCTTGTGCCTTAAAACGCACCATTGGCAGAATCTAAAACTAATTAAGTCAACATTTACCTATTCCTTTAAATACAATATATTAATTCAATTAGATTTATAAACTATATTAAGGTAACATTTTTATGCACGTGTGCTTCAATTAATCTCAATTTTAAAATTAAAAAAAATCTGCTTTATCCACTTCATGTGTCATTAGTGATAATTCGAAATTGAGGTTGGAAATAAATTTCCATCTCTATTTATTTCAATTGAATTCTCCTCATTTTTTTTTTAATTATATTTTCATCAATAAATATACCAAGACTAATATTGTACAGAAAATTATATTACAATTAATTTAATATTTTGTTTTTCAAATTTTAATAACATATATAGTTCAAGTTTGTCACCCTAGCTAATTCAAAATTTTTGGCTCCACCCACAAATTGGGGTTTATGAATATTGAAGTGGTTAAATTAAATTGTTTGAAATTGAGGTTGAAATTTATTTTCTGTATACAATTCGTGGAAGAGTTCACAAAAATAATCCCATTCACATATAGATGAACAGTCGAGAGACGTGCAAAAAAATGTTACTTAATAAAAATGCTTACAAATCTAATTGAATTAATATATTGTAGTTAAAGGAATGAGCAAATGCTGTCTCCATTAGTGCTGTCAACGGTATGTTTTGAGCACATGCTTTGCCCTGTGGGAGGAAAAGAAGTCCATTAATAGTTCACTTTTCCTTTTTAGCATGCTATAAACTAATTGTCCATTCTAAAAGTTCAAATAAAACAAATACCATATTTTCATAATTATCCTTTTAATTTTTCAAAAGCGTTCGAACTTAATATTAAATATTTTAAAAATTAGAAAAGACAATTTAATAATTTAAAATAGGAACAATGCGACAAGTTTCTTAAAAAGTTATAAACCCAAAGGCAACTAATATGAAAAAGTGAGAGTATATTATTTTTTCTTTTTAGCTAACAAGAGCGAAGAATGATGTATTAATACATCAATACATTCTATATCTATTATCTCTCTCCACCTATTACGTGCCCAAAAAAAAAAATCATAATGTATACCCAACTGCCATTGGTGGGTGACTCTAACAGAAAAACTCACTTCAAAGTTCGTATAATGATAATAATATGTATATTCTCTATATTGGAGATACCTCCAAACCCATTCAATGCACTAACTATTTGTGCTTATATTATCATAAATGTCCATAAATTGGACTTATTAATTATACTTGCCAATTATAAGTATACTTGTACAACTAACATTCATTTCGAACAAGTATATTGTTTATTAATAAGTATTACTTACTGATATAAAAATATAAATAAATAAATATATATATACATAGTTAAATATACTACGTGTTGGCGTATATTAATTACATTACGGTTTCTGGTGCATACATCATTTAATTATTATATACATACATTAATTATTTATACAACATTTATTTTAGTATTAGTGCGCTTATATATATTATCAGAAATGTCTATAAAGTATTAAGTGTTTTTATTAATTATTATTAAAATATTAAATGTTATTATTAATTACACTTACCAATTATAAGTATACTTGTAGAAATAATATATACTAATTTAAAACAAGAATAATATATAATTGCTTACTAATAAGTATTTCTATACTCTGAGTTGGCGTATATTACTTTCCTACTTAATGCTAATTCAATGCTTATATTCTTAATCAATTGCTTATATTCTTAATTCAATGCTTAATTTTGAATGGGTTAAGGATTTATTTAAGGGAAAGGATCCTCTCCAAGAATAATTCTCTCCAAATATCTACAGATATTAATCTTTTGGCTACTAAGACGTCACATCAAAAACTTATCTGATTAGAATTCTTTATGGAACTTTCTTAAAATATCTAACTATTTAAATTACATGTTTACCCACATAAAAAAACTTTTTCTCTCTCTTCTCCTCTCTTCCTTCTCTCTCCTATATATATATCTATAGAGCCAATTTGCTCCTTTTCTTGATCCGCCGTTGACAACTCTCTCTCTCAAACCTCCACTTTCTTTCTTTCTATGTCGTTCCATAGAGTTGTGTCTCGCATCGAATTGGGTTCACAAGAATCCGTTGACAAGTGGCGAACAAATGCTTTAAACCTTCAATTAATAAAACTGTTCAAGCTTGAAGCCTTCGAATCAATTAATAATTCCAATGATTGGGTGATGGCAATCAACAAAACTGTTCAAACTCTTAAATGTATATTATTGGATAACGAATCTTCTTGTAGATATGGAAGCAGCATTACAAAACCAATGGTCGCCTTCTCCGAGCGCATGGACGCTAGAGACACCATCGCCGAGACTCCAACAGTATATAATCTGTAGATATATATATATACATCTAACCATGTGTGTGTGTGTATATATATATATGTTATATACAGGAGAGAGAAGGAAGAGAGGAGAAAAGAGAAAAAAAAAGTTTTTTTATGTTGGTAAATTTGTAATTTAATATAGTTAGATATTTTAAGAAAGTGAGTTAAATAAGTTGATGATGTAGCGCTTTAGCAGTAGTAAGATTAATAACTGTAGATGCTTGGAGAGAATTTTTCTGGGTTCCTCGAATAATGTGATATCTCACAGGGTAAATCCTTAACCCTTCCCTCTCTTACTAAGACTACAGAATGTTCTTGCGAATATATTATGGCCTTAGTAGTAATATCTGTAGATGCTTGGAGAGAATTTTTCCTGGAGAGGATCCGTTCCTTTTATTTAATTAAGTGTGTTTGATAATGTAATTTGAATATCATTTAAAATTAATTGAATTAGAAAAGAAAATGATTAGCGCCACTTAAAATGAGGTAAAAGTTAAAATGAAGTAAAAGTTTACAAGGATATCACTGAATGCTCAAAGCATAAAATTCAAATAGGTATCACATAATATTTATTTTTTTAGTTATCACTTAAAAATTCAGCAATTAAATTTTTTAGTTAACAAGGAGCTCAAGTGGGTATATCACTTGGCCTTGGTGCCTCATAAAGTACCAGATCTAAGGTTCAATTCTTCATTTTAAGTGTACATAATTTTCAATTTTATCAAACAACTCCTAATATAAATATACAAATACATACTGAAATACTAATTATATTATTAATAGTCATATAAGTATATTTTTGCCTAAGTGTATTTGTGGATGTTTGAGTGTGTTTTTTTGCTATTGAGATAAAATGCTTACAATGCTGGCAAGGTATAAAGAAAATGTTTGTGATATAGAATATATTTATTTTTTATAGAAAAAAACCTCACATAAATCTCATATACTCATATGCCTCTAACTACGAGGACTTAAACCCTCTACCTTTCATTTTGAAAGACGAGCAAACACAAATATATACACATTGGAATGTCATATAAGCTTTGTTTGTTTCGATTTAAAATATATTTTTTGGAAAATGTTTTTCTTTTTCAAGTAAAATATATATATTTTTATTTTTACTTTTTTAATATTTGGCAAAGGTCTAAATCGAGGTTGAAGTCGAATCCATCGGACGGGACGTGTAAAATAACTAACTGAAAATTAATGAATAAATTTTTTTTTAGTTCGTAAATATTTAACAATAACTAAAGAACAAAAAATAAAAATATATTTTACATCCAAAGAAACAAAGTGCTAATGTTACTTTGCCTTGGAGCTGTTTTGAAAGTATTAGAAATTCTACTGGGCCATTACACATTGTTCGTTTGCCTTTGGGGCTTGTTTTTGAGTGAACTTGGGCTAAATTTTGATATTGTGCTGGTCAAAGAGGAAAACATACTCGTATTAAAGAAGCGTGACAAATATAAAGAAGATTTTACACCAATAGGTGTTTTACAAAAGAATTGCTAAATAACCGATCCTCTAACTCGATAGCACATGGGAAAAAAAATCCAAGAAGAACAACGAATTAACAAATTTATAAACTAGTAAAATTAAAGAACCAATAGGTAAGACCGTCATTGGTGCGTTCCAGTAACATAATTGTGTCCCACCCCAGGACTTGGACTGGAGTTCTTAATCCCTCTGAGTATTTGAGTATTGGTGGATTTGTGTCCTTGGCCAGGAGTCGAACTAGAGTCTTTGATTCCTCCAAGTGTTTGAGCATTAGTAACTGTGTGTCCCTGACCAGGGGTGGGACCAGAGTCCTTAATTCCTCCAAGTGTTTGAGCGTTAGTAACTGGGTGTCCCTGACCGGGGGTGGGACCAGAGTCTTTAATTCCTCCAAGTGTTTGAGCATTAGTAACTGTGTGTCCCTGACCGGGAGTGGGACCAGAGTCCTTAATTCCTCCAAATATATTATAGTTGGTAAATTTGTGTCCCTCACCGGGGCTTGGACTTGAACTCTTGATGGCACCTAGATTTAGGGCATCAAAAAAGCCCCCAACGCCTCTATTAGCAGAGGCATGAGACTTTAAGATATTGAACGGACGTGCTTCGGTTGCACAGAAAATGAAGCTAAGTATCAGGAGGAAACTGAAACTGAGTTGTACAAAATGTTTAGCCATGTTAGAGAGAGAAAGAGAGAGAGATGTATTGCAACATGGAAGATGTGGTGCACACTATTTATATTGTTGGTAAGAGATCTTGGTATAGGATTGGAGTAGGTATGTTTGACTCGATTGCTAGATAGAGAAGAGAGAGAGAGAGAGAGGCAGACAAGTACACCATGAATTCAAAACAAACGTGACAAATAAATAGAGTAATATTGGAAGTATATATGTATCAATGTAGGAAGTAGCCAGGGAGGTTCTGTGGTTGCTGAAAATAGTGTTTGTGAACAAAGAAAATGAGAGAAGAAAGCAATGGGAGTCGTGTCTAATTTGGATGGTGTAGAAATGCAATGGTCATGGTGCATTAACTGAATTAACTAGTTTAGATTCTTGTGGTGTACCAGCCGCCTATTTTACTTGGAAAAATTATACAGTATTACTCTACAATACCAAATGGAATGGGATTGGGGGAGTCCAATTAAAGACCATGCAACTGGTTTGAATTCAAATGAATGGCGGTTTGAACAGCTAGGAATTTCATGACCTAGTCAACTGTCAACAAATGGTATAGTATCACCAAATGAGACCAGGGTTATTAGTTTATTATGATCCCTGATTTGATGAAGATCCATGCTAGGCTATAATAGAGAGAAATATTATAAATATATATTCTGTTGAAGATATTTAATAAAACCTTATTTATTGTGATTTATTATACTTTATTACCTACATTATTAGTGCACTAATTCTATCTTTATGTATTCACTCACCGTTACAATTTAATCATTGTATATACATGACCATATATCACTTGTTCCGGGATTAGAGAAGAAATACCTATTTTCTAAATTTTTATATGAGTCTTTCTATTCTCTACTTCTCTTGTCTTCATATTTTTTCTAGAATCATTTGATTTGTTTATAGACAATAAGCGATTCAGTTATTTTGTTTGCATTCGGGCATGAATATCATCTGCAAACTATTGGGTTGTATCTTGTAGTCGGTATTACTGTCAACATCTGCACGTAAGAAAAAGTATTGACTTTAGAATAATATTTAGCACACCTCTCAATTTCAAAGTTCATTTTTATTTATTTATTAATATTATCTAATTTAATTTTACTTTATTTATATAATTATAATCGTATTGTTTATAGTGTTTAGGTTGAGTTTGTGCATCCTTGTGAAGAATGAGGCAATTTAATTGTCGTGGCAAAGACGATACAGCTCTCTTTTGAGGACGCAATTAATTGTCCACGTGGTCGTGTAGTGGGACCGGGCTAAGTAAGGTTGGGCTCAGCTTTGAGTGGAATAAATTGACTTTTCCAAGCCCAAGACCAAGTCCAGATCTTCAAATTGTACATCCCATGTCTCCAAGTTTGATTCACATGGGCCTTGGTTGAGTGCAGTTTAACATGAGGCCAATAAATTGGCTAAACTACATATAGCCTAAGCCCAGAGGTAAATTCCTACTATTATTAAAAAATTAAGAATATTATTTTTGATTGCAGTGGACCACCAAGTTGATAATTTTTGATGATTTTTTATTTTATTTATTTATTAAACATTAATAAGTCATTAACACAGAGAATTTGATCTCTCGATTAAATTACAATCTTTGATTATTTTATTAAATAATTAAAAAGCATTAAACGTGAAAGAGTAATGATAGGATATGCATGAAAAAAATAATAACAAAAAACAAAAAGAGCAAGTCAATTAATAAATGGGCTACACAAACTATATCATTTTTCAATGTGAAAAGGGTGTTCTTTTTTACCGCACGACTGAGAAGAGATATAACGATGGTAGAGTATGAACAATATTTAGGCCCTATTTAGTATGCATTGTATTTTTGGCGTTTTGTTTTAACCCAAAACAAAATAATTGTTTTGTTATGGAGTGTTCTAGGTTGAAAACAAAAATATGTTTGGTGACCCAAATTTGCAATTAAAATTTCGGAAGCAGGAACATGTATAATATATTTGGCAACGTTTATTGTTTCAAAAAATTTAAAAACAAAACATGTTTGACGGAGTCTGACTGTTGTGTTTGAGTCTGTTTTGGATTTGTTTTGAATATATATATTAATACCATTAATATTCATATATAATAGTTCTCATTACTAATTTTTCTACACATTACCAATTTTTGTTTGCCTTTTTTATAATGACAATTTTGTCAATTTTATTATTCTGCCAAGTAATGAAATGATAAACATGAGGAGGAAGTGCACAATGTTTTTATCCATTACAGTTATTTTTTAAACCCCAACTTTATTGAATGAGATTGGATTTCACGCAAACTCCAACACTACACCTACATAATTGTAATAAATGAGATTTGATTATGATACATTTAATTTAGATCGATCAAAATATTCTTTGTTTAAATAATACAATAAAAGCATGTCAAAATAAATTAACTCTTGCATAAATTGCGATGGGGCCATTTTTATTTTTACTTTATTTTATTTTGAATGCTTCGCTGTATCACTTGGGCTGTTTGACAACCAAGGAAACAATGAAACGATTTGAAGAGTTGCCCATAGCATGTCCGAATTAGTTATTGGAGTCTATTAAAAAAATGAAAATTAGGCGCTCATTAAATTGCTTTACTAATGTGCTTTTTAAGCCAAGTCAGCCTTTCTCAAATTGCCTGCCCCATCTTAAATTTTCTATTCAATTGCATGGATTTTATTATGTACACATTTAATGTATCATAATAAATAAAATTATGCTGGCAGGTATTTTATATATTGCCACACATATTAAATTATTATAGTATATATAATAGGTAGAATACATGTAGTTAGAAACAACCCTTCCCTTCAACATATATTCTCTCCCCCCATTAAACAATGGCAGTGGAAGGAGTCCATGTCCTGCTGGTCACATTACCATTTCAAGGTCACATAAACCCAATGCTCAGATTTGCCAAACGCCTTGTATCAAAAGGCCTTCACGTAACACTTGCCACACTCGAAGTCTTTAGTCAAACACTTTCAAATGCCAAGTCCTACACCAACCTCAACACCCAGGTCGATGAAACCCCCGAACTCCATCTCGAGTTCTTCTCTGATGGCCTCCACCTCGACCTTGATCGCAACAAGCACCTCGATCTCACATTACAGTCCTTGCCATTGTTGGGCTCGAAAAATCTCTCCAATCTCATCACAAATCTGGCCGCTAATGGTCGAACATTTTCTTGCATAATCTATCAAATCTTCGTTCCTTGGGTAGCAGATGTTGCGGCTGATCACGGCATCCCTTGTGCCATGCTCTGCATACAAGGTTCTTCTCTCTTTTCCATTTACCATCGATACCATAATGATTTCGAAGCATTCCCGCCATTTGATAATCCAAATAATGCCTTACAGTTGCCTGGGCTGCCATTGTTGGAAGTAAAAGATCTTCCAACATTTATCCTTCCGTCGTGTCCTCAACACTTCAAGAATGTGCTGTCAGATTCATTTCGAAGTTTGGAGAAAGTGAATTGGGTTTTGGTCAATTCATTCTATGAGCTGGAGGCTGATGTGGTGAAGTCCATGGCTTTGCTCAAACCTCTTCTTCCCATAGGCCCGTTGGTGCCCTCTTCACTAATAGGAAAAGAAGAAGTGATAATGGATCGTCTTGATATGTGGAATTCTGATGATTCTTGTTTGGAATGGCTGGACAAGAAGCCGAATTCATCGGTTGTGTATCTCGCATTTGGCAGCCTAACTGTGTTGGCAAAAAAGCAGATTGAGAACATAGCTATGGCATTAAAGAAAAGCAAACGGCCATTTCTTTGGGTTATCAAGTCAGGAGAGAGAGATTCCGACAAGGAAAATGGACTGCCAGTTGGGTTTATGGAAGAGACCAATGGCACGGGACTGGTGGTGTCATGGTGTAATCAGGAAAAGGTGCTTATGCACGGTGCTTTGGCTTGTTTTGTGAGCCATTGTGGGTGGAACTCGACTTTGGAGGCGGTGGCGGCTGGGGTGCCTGTGATTGCATTTCCGGAGTGGACGGACCAACCCACGAATGCAAAGCTTCTAGTTGATGTTTTCAAGATGGGAGTGAGAATGAGGCCCCAGGAAGACGGGGTTGTCACCAAAGAGGAGGTTGAAAGATGCATTTTTGAAGTCACTGAGGGGCTGAGGGCGACGGAGATTAAGGAAAGGGCAGCAGAATTGAAGGACGCGGCCAGAAAGGCGGTTGCAGATGGTGGTTCTTCTGATGGGAATGTTGATTATTTCATCAGCCAAATCATTGAACAATCTAGCTAGACTCTGGTCATCAGAGAAAACTAAGTAGTCCCTGTACTCATATTAGATATTCATGTTTAGAAATTATAATTTTTTTAAAAAATGTAATTAATAATTGTCTCTTTTTTTAAATTATCAAATTGTCATTTTTATTTTAGATAAGTATAATTATTAAGTTTGAAATTTTTTAAAAATATAAAAGATAATTATGGAAAGATAATACTTATTTATTTTTTACTTTTCAAAGTAAATAACTAATTTAAAATATCTAAAAATAAGATAGTGAATTACTAATATGAGATAGAGATAATATATAATCACTTGTAGTGTCACAAATTGATAGTTGTTGCATTGTGTGATGATCCGAATTTTTAGAATTTTAATTTAAGTATTTTATGATTTTTAGCGTGTCTCTATTTATTAATTATGTATTTATGTTTTGTTTGCTGAAGAGTTGAAATGGGTGTTGCAATTTGAAAATAGAAGAAGAAAAGGAAAAGGTGGTGATGGCGACGTTTGGCTTCACGTGGGCTTATTGGGTGAGAGATTGTGTTCCATGTTTTTTTGTGAAATGAAAAGAATTGAAAAAGGTGGGAAATAGGATTGTGATGATCTTTTTTTTGGGTCCCACCAATGTGATTTTGTGACCAAAAAGTTTCTGGTCTTTATTTTCTTCACGTGGGTTAGTCTGTTAGAGTGGAGTGTGATATTGTTGTATTGACAGATATGATGTGATAAGGAAGAAAATTATGAGGAAAGAAATTATGGGTTGTGGGTTCATTGATTAATGATTGTCTTTTGATATTTGTGTGTGGTTAGCATTTGTTCATGAGTAGGTGAATTGGCCTATTTAATTGTGTGTTGGGTGCACTACTACGTAAGAATGAATACAGAGAGAGTAAGCAGAGACAGAAGAGAAAAAATTGGAGAGAGACAGTGAGAGCCGAGAGTTAGAGAGAGAGAAACAGAGTGAGTTGAGAGAGGGACAAAGGAGCTGAGAGTTGCAGAGGAGGCCGGAGTTTGAGGATTGATGATCCATAAATCTTTTTGAGTGTAAGGTTCTTTATACCTTGAATGACATGGTGAGGTTTTGATTAAATGTTTTATGAAATGTTTTGATTAAATGCATATTTATTTTGTCTATATACTCACATGATTATGTATGTTTTGTGAAACTGTTTTATTAAACCTTCATGAGATTCTTGTTATGGTTTTTCCTACTGTGACTTTTGTCTCACCACCCTCCAGTTTCAGGTACTGAAGATGGACGGGGATCGTAGAGACGGACTTAGGATGAAGGGTTGGCGTGCAGGATTTATTTTATTTATTTGGAGAATTTTTGTATATTTGATAAATTGATTTCTGTATAAAAGAGAGGGCAATTTTTCGGATCCTGGGTGTATTTTGATGTATTTGTATATGAATAAATGGAGGATTTTATTAGAATTGTCGGGTTGTCTAAAAAAAATGTCCTATTTGAAAGCAGTGACTCACAAAATAATTTGAATCACGGGTTCTTAAACATGACATCTAATTTGGGATGGAGATAATATTTAAATTTAAAGTATTTAGGGATATTAATAATAAGATGACCATTTCTTAAGATAAAAGAATGGCAAAAAAGCACAAAAGAATGTTTGAGCTTTTGACATGGTATATATACCTTATGGCTATATTACATAGAATACTAATACTAAACACGATAATGAAAACACGGCGAGACAACTTAGCAAATTGAACCTCTTTATGAAAACAAATGGGGTATTTTATATTACTAAATATGATACCGATCACAAGATAGAGAGACACCGCATCAAAAACATTATTTTTATTTTAGATGAAAACAAAATAATAATGGAGAGGGGGAGAGAGGAGTGGCTATGCCCCCACCCAATTATTGCAGACCCAATTTTTTTGCGGAATTCTAGTGACCGTAATTTATTATATAATTATGAATAGTGATTTTTTTTTTTGGAAAAATTAAAATCCACAACCCCAGAAAGATTTTTTTTTTTTTTTTTTTTGGGAAAATTTATTAATGGGTATTTAATTGTAGTTATGAGTGGTGAATTTCTATGGGTGAGGTGCAAAAAACTTCAAATCCTACCAGTATGAAAAATGAGTAAATATAACCTTCTGATAAATAAATAAATAAATAAAATTGTGACATGTGTGGGTCATGTAACCAAAAAAGATCTTTAATACCAACATTGCTCTTTTGGAATTCCCAAACTACCCCTCATTCATTTTTTTTTTTCTTCCTAATTTCTATATATAATACCCCAATTTCACATTTCTCTCTATAAATACTCTATTTATATTTTTTTATCTCTATAATTTGTGTTTGTATATATATATTTCTTCTCATTCTTTGTCTTTCTTTAAAGATCCCATGTAGATAAATTTATTTCTTTAATACTACTAATAATAAATAAATAAAATTTATCTGTCTTAAAAAATTTACTTATCAAGGCTCTTTGCATATCCATGTATGAGATATTGTGTTGTGTGTATATATACAATAATATATATATTTTTTATAGAAATAATAATATTTTCTAAAACATTAAAGTGATTTACACATTCTGTTAGTAATTTATTTTCCCATATTCACATGATCAAATAATTAAATATTAATTTACCAAAAAAAAGAATAAAATTAAATATCAATACACCTAAATGTCAATACCCATTATATATTCTTCTAAGAATGAAATCTTTATTCAAGCATAGAGTTTGTGATCTGTATAAAAGAAAATAGTTTATTCCGTATAGAAAATATATAGTATTTTTATATTTATTTATATTACTATTTAGTAATTATTGAAAGGAATATGATTTGACACTTGACTATATATATATATATATATATATATATATATATATATATATTACATTTAAAATTATTTATTTGATTTAAAGATAAAATAATAATTAAAATTATTAATTAAAATTATTAATATAATAATTAAAATTATTTATTTGATTTATTTGATAAATATATTAATTAAAATTATTTATTTGATTTAAAGATATACTATATATATATATATATATATATATATATATATATATAATTTTTTTTTTTTTTTTTTTACGTTGTTTTTTTTTTTAATTGATTTTTTACATTATATATCATTTGATTTTTACTCTCTAATTTTGTATAAGCCCTTTTAAGTAATTTCAACTTCTACTCATATTTTATTATTTTTGTAAAAAGAATCTCGATGAATATTTTTGTATTTTTGCATCTCTCACTTTATTTAAGTGACAATAAGTCTTGTTTGCTCACTTTTTATAGGAGTGTGATTTAAATAAGGGTAAATTACGCAAACATTCCCCATGATTTGAGAAATTAGGCTCGTTGTGCACGCAAAACACCTTTACCACCACATCCATTGACGCCACAACCACTCCTCTCTTCGCTGCCCACCGGGTCTTTGTTGCTCTAGACAAGTCTGAGAGGTTGCTAGGGTTTCGCTGGCTTGTTTGGAGATTTTTGGGGGACGGGCATGATGAATCAAGAGGCAGATTGAATGTTTTAACTTGGCAGACGGCAGAGGTCCACCCTTCTTGCCGGTACAATTTCGAATGAAACTCAGTTTTGGTTTATGCTAGATGCCAATAGTCAATCCTCTAATACAAAATCTGATTGAATCACAAAGTTACTTATCATCAAAGGGTCCACTGTAAACATTCCAGAGCGAGACTACTCTTTTTTTTTTTACTTGGCAAACAAAGTTACATTAAGAAGGATTACATTCCACAGCAACATTAAGAAGGACTACAATCCACAGAAGCTGCCTGGAGCACTGCATCAGGGAAACAGTCTAAAACAAAGTCCTGCCCATTACATTTGTGACTATGAACATGGAAAATCTTCACAGAAGAAAAGTTAGAGAGCTCCAAAATGATATCAAAGAAGATGGGAGATATATCAGTAGGCCACCTATGAGTTCTTTCCACAGCCTCCACCACCACACGAGCATCACTCTCAAACCACACCTCTTGAAATCGAAAGACACTAGCCCAAAAAACTGCCATCCGAAGAGCAGTGGCTTCAGCTATAGTAGCTGAGGAAGATGGGAATTGCTTGAATATAACAGCCTCAACGACTGACCCATTTGAGTCTCGAAAAACGACACCCCCACCTCCCATACCAGTTGAAGAGGAGAAACATGCATCAACATTACCTTTAATCCAACAGGGGGTGGAGACCAAGAAACCGGGGAATCCCGTGGTTTAGCACCCACATTCAACATACGGCAAGTCACCTGGGCATCAACAAACTCCCAATATTTACCAACAGCCAAGGAGGCTACCATCCAAGGGTCCCATAAAACAGCATCAAACACCAGCTTGTTACGTGCTTTCCACAATGCCCAACAGCCAAAAGAAGCCATAGAAAGAGTCGAATCCTTCTGTAAAATTCTGTAAAGAGCCAGAACCTAAAAGTTCAAGGCTTAGCCACCAAGAAGAAAAAGAACATATACAAGAATTCACCAAATCAAGACGGAGCGGCATCAATTTCCACACTAGCAGCGAGTGGGGACATTTGAAAAATAAACGATTAATATCTCCCTCCTCCAATCCACAACGGGAACAAATAGCATCAACACAAAGACCCCTTTGAGAGCTAGACTACCTAGAGACAACTAATATGCTAACAATTTCATGCAATCCAAATAAATATAAACAAAATTTTAACATTCCCCAAAATCCGCAGTTAACATCTCACCTAACTCAACAATTGCTTGCTATCTCGGTTAGTGCCAAATTTCTTGTCCAGGTGCACTTACTATGACAAATGATCCTGGACATCCACCAAACCAACTCTCTTTTGAAGGGGTATATTAATCATGCAAGATCACCAGGAAAAAAACACAAAAAATAAAAATAAGCCATATAAAGATTAAAGCCCCAGAATACAAATCAACATTAGGATAACAATATCCTAATCAAAATCGAGCCTTTCGTTTCCGTGCCGTGTACTTTGTATCTCGAGGCACGGCATTTCCCTTTTTCCTCATCTGTTCCTTCTTCTTCAGCACCCAATCTCTTCCCTTAAATTTCTTGCCTATCTTTTGCCTTTTCCTTGGTCTATTCCTGTCTGATTTACAAACCTGAATGGCAGAGAGAAACTTGTTCTAATAAATACAAATAAATACACAAAGTTTTAGCATTAACAGCATTATTTATAGATTCTCACCCCTGAAATGTGATTGCTTATAAATTAATAACTGAAGACACAGTAACTTACTGTCTCATTTTCTTCATCTCCACTACTCTCGTCATCAGAACAACTCTCTTCATCTTCGCCTTTGCCTTTTGGAGTAGCTGTGCTCAAGGATGGCAGACCACAGGTGAGTACAAGGTATTCTTTTCTTTTCTTAGTACTGCTCATGAAAATTACACTCTATTAGTGTCCGTACTGATAAAAAAATATGCTCCTATTTTAGCATGTCATATTTGCAACTTTCCATGGAAGCTCAGCCTAAGAAGGGGGTTTGTAATGAGAGTTGCCCAGTCATACAAATTATATTTATTTTAAGAAAAACCAAATTATGGTTGCATAAGGTAGCAATACAGCCAATCATTCAATTACATAACTTTTTTTTCGAAGGGATGTCATACTTTAAAATTTAAATAAGTGAGGGAAAAGAACTTTGCGAATGGTAATTCAGAATTAGCTTAGAAATTGGACACACACCTGCATAGGCAGGTCCAACACTGGGTGATGGTCTTCATGTATTTCTTTGAGTCAATCTATTATTAGCTAAACACTATTCCTAGAGTAGTCAAGAAATGCAAATGGACGAAGATAGAATATATCATGTAGGCTATTTACATTCATCAACACTAAAGTTATATTCATAATAAGTTTGTATTTAGGGTTAATTTCAATGACACCCCTGAGGTTTGGATAAATCTCACACCGAGACACCTTTCGAAAATAAGTATCACTCACGTTACAAACATTTGGTCCTTTTTCACTCACCCCCCAAACGTCACTTTTCAGTGGTGTCAGAACACTTTGTGCATGTACAATGACATTGTTACCCTTTTGACTATGTGTTGACTTATAAAAATATCTTTTCATGTATAAAATGACTTAATTATCCCCATAGGACCCATGTTAAGTCACCAAAGTACCCATTGGAATATGTGTATATATATGAAACTTTACAATAGTGTCTGTTTTTGTATTGATAAAAAAATTCAACAGAACATCATAAATCATTTGTTTGTGTGTGTTTTTTTTTTTTTTTTTTTTTTTTTTGTCTATTTATTATATATATATGTATTACGTTTCTAACTCCATCATAGATAGAGTATACAGGATTGAATGGAATGACAACTATATGTATATATAACACACACACACACACAAACTCGAAAAGAAAATGATGAGAAGCAAAATATTGGATATGATCCAACTGGGTCTTGAAGAAAACCCAAGAAAGTCTAAAGAAAAATACAAAAAGCACCAATCACCAATTTTGGGAAGAGACAATCAAAGATGGACCCCACAAAGTTAAAATGGAAAGGAAAAAAAAAAAATTCTTAATCTTAAAGGCAACTGATTATCAATTGGCATCATGGACGAATCAACTAAATTGGTGAAATTGAAAAATCGTAAGCATGTTGTCAATGTTTATTGTGGTGGTTGATGTTCTAATGGCTTCGTCAGGGCATCAGGATTGAATAAGCAGATGAAGCATCCACACGTGCTGTAAAAAGCATCAATATATAACTGAATTGGCTGCCAGATGGAAGATCAAAGCATGTTGTATAATTTGTATCTATAGATTATCAAGAAAAACCATATGTTTAATCCAATCAGTCAGTGGTTGAAAAGAAAAAAAAAAAAAAAAAAAAAACTTGCAACCACCAAATTTCATACCCAATTAGCATAAACTACGTATGCCTACAAAATTAGAATTCCCAAATCAAATCTGTAACTACCTAGATTGATAAATTGAAAGAAACATTAAATAGGTATCAAATTGGGTCTCACCAAAATTTGATTAATTCTCAAAAAAAATATATATATAATAATAATAAATAAATAAATAAAATCTTATACTTACAATAAACCATATACCCCAAAATTAAATCCAAAATTGGGATTCACAGGTCAAAACTTCAACTACCCAGATTGAGAAATAAAAAGAAATAGTGAATGAGAATCAAATTTGGGTCTCACCAGCACATCGACAGTGGTCACAGAAGGGTGGCATAGAGAGGAACACCGAAACCTCTGTTCAAGATTTTCAGCAACGGTATTCAATGATTCCTACAGAAATGCCCACTGTTGAACAAATTAAATTTACCTCTGTTCATCCATCTCTCCACCTCTTTATCATTCTCTCTCTCTAAATTATATATGTATATATAAATATTAGACTTAGGTTTGTATTTGGATTTGAATGGAGAATAGAGAATCCGCAATGGAGTCGTCGTTGGTGGATCAGATCAAGGGAACGTGGAGTCCTGAAGAGGATGAGTCGTTGTGACAGCTCGTACAACAAAACATTGCGCAGAACTGGACATTGATATCCAAATCAATTCCGGGTAGGTCCAATAAGTCGTGCCGTCTCCGGTAGTGTAATCAGCTCTTGCCGGAGGTGGAGCATCATGCCTGCGCACACGAGGTTTGGGAACAAGTGGGCAACGATTGCGAGACTCCTCAACAATGGTTACACTGATAATGCGATCAAGAATAACAGGAACTCGACGTTGAAGAGGAAGCATGCGATGTTGATTGGCGGTGGAGATGAGTGTCCAATTCAGGTGCTGAAGGTATTGGAGAGCGTGAAGAAGATAGTAAGACTGGTTCAATGATTCTAGCATTCCTTTTGTGTCGGTAATAAGAGGGCATTTTTGTCCTTCAAATTTGTTGATATTTTGAATTAAAAAATTGAGGGTAAAATTGTCATTTCACACATTTTTAACGGTAAAAGTGACAAAAAAGTGATTTGGAGAAAAGTGCCTCCATGTGAAATGTGTCCAAACCTCAGGGGGTGTCATTGAAATTAAACCTTATATTTATTATGGTTTGATAAGCCTTTAAAAAATATAGTTAATTCAGAACCAAAGTTATATCACATCAAAATTTAACGGTTTCAGTAATTAAAGGGTTAAGAAAGATGAGAGTTCTGAGGTTGAAGAAAAAAAAAGGACCAAAATCCTAGACAATCATCACTAGAGAAAAATGAGACAGATGTTACAAGAAACTTCAAAAGATCCCTAATTACTTTTTGTTTTTTTTTTTTTTTTTGAAAAAGAGAAGGGGGGGGGGGGGGGGGGGGGGGGGGGGGGGTGTGTGTGGTGGTTTAAAAGATCCCTTCAATTGCTGCCTCAAGACAATGATAATACATCACTTATTGAGGGCATTTACTCTCGAAAGAAAGCCAAGTTAAAAAAAGCACAATCTCGCAGAATAAAAGCGCACACAAGGAAGGAAAAGCCGATACTACAGTACTATTGCAAACCACCTTTTGTAATGTTCATTGGTATCTTTTTTCCCCATGAAGTCACAAGTAAAAGCCTCTTTAAGGTTGTTCTATAACATAATTGCATTACCTGTGTGGGAAGTCAACCACCACGCCACCAGCAAAGCCAGCACGCATAGCAAAGCTCAGGATCAACTCACGCTGAGCAAGGTTTTCGGGATATACTTGAAACACTGCTCTTGCTCCCCTTGATAGACATCTATAGAGTGATCCAAAGAAAGCCCTACAAAAGATATGATTGCAGTCCATAAGAAGCTCAAGGATGTGCAAATTTGAACAGAGAAATAAGGAAATTTGTTTAATTTCAGATGACCACCTTGGAACTTTGTGTAGCCAAGTTTTAGTTGTAGCAAAATTTTTGCTATGTTTAATTTGCTTTAGAATGCTTTTGGTCAGATTCTAATATGTTTTGATATATTTTAGATGATTTCTTATCTTGATATTAGGGTATATTGATAATTTTAAAATATTCTTAGCAGGTCTATATTTTTTTTTTGATAAGTCTTCTTAGCAGGTCTATATGAGTTTCAACAGTCCATAGTACCACATTTTTTCTAGAAGTCCGAGCCCTCTTAGAGTTGGGAATTCCTAAAACACCATATCATATAGCTATTGCATTTAATTTGATATCAAGGTTTCAAGATTGTGCATTGAAGTTCTAACCCTAGGTGTGAGACATGAGAGCCCAACAGACCCTCTTTACTGTTATTATAAATAAATTTTGTATCATACATTGTAGAGGAGTGTTCTTTGTGCTAGTACTAGGTATTGTGTCAAACACATTAACACTCAAACAAAAGAGAGATTAGTAATGCAGTTCTCAATGAAACTGAAGCATAAGCTTCTTCCATGATTCAGATGAACTAATTAATAAAAAAAGGAAAGAAAGAATTTCAACATACTTCAATCTTAATCGAGGCTCATGAGAGGACTTATCAGCATTGCATAACCACTGCATGGACAAATCAACATGTGAAAAGAGTTCAACACAGTACAAACATGTCTAGCGAGAATATAATTTCCAGCAACGGTGAGTATTTATTTCAGAGAACCAATACTCTATACAACTAAATATGTTGAAAGAATTATAAAACATATAATTTTTGTTTGATAAGTTATAAACATATAATTGTAATAAATATATAAAGGAAGTGAGCTTTCTTTGGCCATGCCTTGCTGAGGTGACTCTTTTTTAAGCCTAGAAACGAATTTAACAACTTTGCTGCATTCATAATTTGAATTTTCTAGTTGCAAAATTATAATTTTTTTATTTAAGTTCTTAAAATCTTTGCTTAAAATTAGGTTTACATTCATGCAGTGATAACAAAGCTGACTGTGCTATAGACTCAAGAAAGAACCAGAGCTAGCCAAGCAGCTCGAGCAGGAGCTTTAAAAAAAAAAAAATTAAAACAGAAAATTAATGTAAAATTTACCCAAAAAGTACCTTTTAAAAAAATATCATCTAACTGCAAGGCACTTTATTTTGGAAAACTAAAGAGAGGGTGATGTCAGCAGTAATATAAAAGACACTTCAATACCCATTAATACCTCAAATAGTGTGCAACAATTCCAATCACCATGTATCTAAGAAACTTAACTTATTCTGAAGGTACATTTGGAAATCATACGTTATACAAATGCTCCATCAATGATAAGTGATGATGGAATCAAACAATAGCATATAATTGTCTCTTCCCTTGTTTGAAATACAGATATACGAATAATTTGAAAGAGAGCTGAAGATATGATCATAAGCTCCGCCATGTTGAAAAAGGCATTGCTAACTTGCATATAAAGTTTGGTATTTTTTTTGTTAGTGTAGATGGAGTCTGAAATAACATACTAAGTGAAATAAGTAAATTCTGTATTTTACAAGCAAAGTTTCCAGAATCCTCTCACACGGGGGATAATGCTAGTAGAATATTCATATTTCATAGAGGGTAGCTAGACATTTTACTTCAAAAAGATAGAGAATTAAAAAATTAAGAGAAAGCAATGACAAACCTGAATAGCTGAGATACTTATCGCACCGTCAATAACTCCAGGACGAAGTCCTAAACCCTGCAACATACACAATGAAAGCATACTATTATTCTTTACTAACAATCAATTGAAAGGAACAACAATTTTCGTGAGTTGACTTGCATGCATCATAATCAAAACACCCAATATTTGAAATAGTTGTATGATTGTATCATCATCATCATCATCCTTGCCTTAATCCCCATATGAATGGGGTCGACCACATCAATTTTTTCTCTCCAATCGTTCCTATCACATGCCAATTCCCCTACCATGTTTAACTTTTTAAAGTCATTTTTAATAACCTTATACCATGTTATTTTTGGTTTCCCTCTCCATCTCTTAGCTTCTATTAAAGCTAGGCTTCCTTGGTTAATTCCTTGCTTAATTGATGCGTCTCTAGGTCTCCGATATATGTGTCCAAACCATCTAAGTCTTTCAACTTATTTTCACAAGTCATAACCACATAAAGTTACCATATTACCAGAAAAAAAAAAAAGAAAAGAAAAGAAAGAGTATAGCAATACATGAACAACTTTGGGTTTGCAATGATTTCAGCAGCAACTAAAGCCAAATTATCGGGTTTGGCATGATATAAAACAGAATTATTTATGGAAGGTCCAAAAATTAACCACCGGTTAGCAGTAGTGGGCAATACACACCAAACTAGCATAGTTATTAACATGTAATATTTATGTTGGCTAAGGGACAAACAATCACACAATCAATATATGGCTTTGAACTGATAGATGTGTCTGTGGTAAAAAAAAAATAGCATTAATGTCAAATCACCCAGCCTGACATTCATTTAACAGATTACAAATTAAAATATGAACTCAGTCCACCATTATTTAATCCCATACAAACTCCGGAACATGGTTAGCAGATAGGAAGTATTATTTTGGTCTTATTGACAAGTCAAAATTTTATGACCAAATAATCCATTGTATTTGTTTAAAAGCTGCAGGCCAAGAGAATATGAGTGGTACAAAATCAAATCAACCCCAAAAGTTCCAAAAATTTTCCACATGGAATGACTTATTAATAATCAGGAAAGAAAAATAAAGTATATCAGGCACTCAACATTAGCTGTCAACAGTCAATTTTTAGCTTTTTTTCCCTTTCAATTCTTAGTCTAGCTAATAAACTGCAAGATACATTTTATTTCCGTAATCCTATTAGAATGTAGTAATATACAAACTTAATGTAACGACATCACAGATATGGATTAAAAATAAGAAATTAGGTAGTTACCTGACCCATATCACCAAGTATAAGATCGCCCTCAACCTCACGCTCCAAAGCAACATCTGAATTTGAAAATTTACATCATTGAATAAATAACAAAGAAGAGAGTAAAAGAGAGAGAGCATAAAAATTTATCAAAAAAACTTCAAGTTAAATCAAACAAAAAAAATTTACATACCAAGCATCGACTGTGATATATCTAAACCAATCCATTGGTGCCCATTTTCAGATATTGTCTCCCCACCGAGTCCAGATCCACAACCTATAAGGCACAAAAAAAGGCCTAAGTTACTTTTGTAATTTTCATGAAGAATCTAAGGGCAGGCTAGGAAGCCAATAATAATGTTGGGAAAAAAAAAAAAAAGTAAACATCAAATTTTCTTTTCTTTTTTTTTTTTTTTAAATCTTGATTTTGAGAAGTAACATCAAATTGCCAGGTGTCAAAGCTCAAGTCTTCAGTCCACAAGTAATATATCATGACCTCCGTACCAATTATGACTTCGTACATCATCGAGTTCTCAATCCCAAACTACTTAAATCATGCTTGGAAAATATTGGGTATCCCGGGGGTACCGACTATATAGTACCCCCAACCAATGGATATAATACTCACTATTTCCCTTGATAATTGGGATTAACTACTTATTATTGGTTGGAGTACTACATTGTCGGTATCCTCAGGTACCAATATTTTCTCATCATGCTCGAGCTCTCTTTTTACCTTTTAAGATTCTTTTGATACTGAGAACCAAAAGAAAACCAGAAGTAAAAAGTTGAGAATTTTATTACTTAGGACTTGAAAAGCACAAAAGCCTACATTGGGTCAAACTTAAAACAACAATTTTGGGGTGATCGATTGTCTCTTTCATTTTTCTTTTTTATTATTTATTTATTTATCATTTTTTTTTTTTTTTTTGGGGTGGGGAGAAGAAAATGTGAGATTCAAACTTCTATTTTCCTTTACTTTCCAATGTTTTCTGCTACAAAAAAGGTGGATTGTGTGAACTTCTAGTATTAGTCTGGGTCTCTTGGACATGCCATTGTGAGCACATAATATAATTAATTCATGAACCTACAATTCAATTTTGGTTTTCAACAACATGGAACTATCAATACTACTAACTAAAAAAAAAACAAAGAGAAAAAAAAAACTATCAACTGGCCCGTCATTTTTTCAAATAGATTGGCAAGAACTTAGGTGCTATTTGATTAAACTGAAAATTCATTACTTAAAAATTTTGCAAGCTGAATTTTAAGTTGTCGTCATCACAATCCTTGCCTTTGTCCCATATGGGGGTCAGCCACATGAATTCTCTTTTTCCATTCTCTCCTATTATACACTGTCTTCTCTTAAATTTAAATTTTTGAAATGATTTTTAAATACTTCATCCCACGAAAGCTTTGGTCGGCCTCTTTGTCACTTACCTTCTAAGCAAAAAACTCTACCTCTTTTGACAGGGCATCATCATCGGTCTACGTTGAATATGATCATACCACAAAAGTCTAAATTTCCTAATTTATCATTTATAGGCACTATACCTAACGATTTTTAATTACTTCATCCCACGAAAGCTTTGGTCGGCTTCTTTGTGGCTTACCTTCTAAGCAAAAAACTCTTCCTCTTTAATAGGTGCATCATCGGTCTACCTTGAATATGATCATACCACATAAGTCTAATTTTCCTAATTATATCATTTATAGGCGCTATACTATGCCTAATATTCCCCTAACACGTTCATTATTTATCTTATCTCTTCTAGTAACTCCCATCATCCAGCGTACCATCCTCATTTGCGCTATATGAATGCGTTGTATTTGAGCCTTTTTCAATACCCAACACTCCACTACATACTATATTGCTTGCCTAATAACTGTTCTATTAATTTTTCTTTTAAGTGATAATTATAAATCGAGTAATTCATGTACATTCCAAATGATACGGAAGTATCACTCACTTAAAATTTAATAACATTTTAAGTATAACTTGTTATTTTTAATTGGGTATTATCACTTAACTTATTCAGAACTAGGCACTCAATTCAGTTACCAAACAGAACTTTAGTCCCAAAAAAAAAAAACTCTCATTTCACTAGTCAGCAAAAGTATAAGAATTAAAAACTTCATACCAAATTTCCAATCTTAAGAAACAAAATGCTTATCTAACACTCAGAAACTGAAATTAAAGAAACAAGATTAACAAAATCACCAATGTCAAGAAGTAATCTTGGGACGCTGTCATCAGGCAAGGCAAGAAGCTCCAGTGCTCTCTCCGAAAGTTTTGCCTTTAGCATTTACATAAAATAACAGTACTTAGCAAACGAAATACATATCACTATGGAGTACTCTTACAACTACAATGTAAGTATAGTACCTGAATTTCGATAATACGAGAAGAGGAGGTGTATTTGCGAGCTTCCGAATCGTTGTATAATATCTCAGGAGGTGCTTCTAATTCAGGCCTCGACGACATCTTCAAAAATAATTAATATAAACAAATTACAAAGACACCACACTATATTCTATATGCTGAGGGAGAGAGACAAAACCCTTTATATTTGAGGGGAAACAACGAGCTAGCAGTGAAAAACCCTAGTTCAACCTTAGCGGACAAAAATGAAACAACCAAACTGGTAAGGGTAGGGATTTGATCTCCAAAAGCGCACGGCCGGTGTTTTCAGTTTGAGGAAGCGGTTCGGGTCGGATTGTTTTGTTTATTTATATATATATATTTGGGGAGGAAAGAACTATAGTTAGGGGTATTTTAACAAAAATATATATATATATAGTTAGGGGTATCAGGATGGGAAGTAAAAATATACCGCGTGAGTATACATTTCAAGCTTTTGAGTCAGAGGGCTACACTTTATTGTTGGTACCAAAGTAAAATCCAGCCTTTAATCCTATGCCCACCGAAAGGAGTATAGGTCCCATTCAAGTAGGTAGGGTGGTCCAACTGTTGCGAATTTAAATGAAAAAAATTGTTAGATGCTCTCATCATACATCCGATCGATTGAAAAGTAAAATGAATATATACAGATGCAGGGGAGGATTCAAGGGTGGGCGAAGCTGGGCTTCAGCCCACCCCAAATTTTTTTTTTTTTTGTTTTTATCATACTACTTTAAGCCCAGCCCAAAAATAAAAAATAAAAAATAATAATGGTAGCCCAGTTCAAAGTTAGCCCAGTCCAAAATTAATCCACCCAATTTAATCCGCCCTTGTATAGATGGACAAGTACCATAATGCAATTGCTTCCTTAACTTAAGTATCATTTTGAGTTAAGTCATTGACTCAAAATAAAATTGGTTGTGCTTAGTTTGTAACTCTGTAAATAATTTTAAAATTGGTTGTGCTTAGTTTATAACTCTGTAAATAATTTTCTTTATCAGAGAACTGAATAATAGGAAATAGAAAACTGTACAAAAACTTTGCTTGGCTTAGTTTTTTAAAAACTGTTTTATGAAAACTCAGTTATAAAAATGTTTATTTTCATATAACTATAAAAGATGTTTGTTTGGTTTGTAATTCTAAGAACAATTTTATATTTTCTGAATTCTCGAAAATTGTGTTCAGAGTTACAAACCAAACATGTTTTCAAAGAACAGTAAATAGAAAACTACACAAAAATTCTGTTTGGTTTGGTTTGGTTTATAATTTCTGAGAATAATTTTTTATTTTCAGATAACTAAAAACAAAAAACTGTTTAAATATTTGGTTTAGGTTTTTGAAAACTCAAAAAGGCTTGGAGTCTGCTTGGTTTGTAACTATAAAAACAGTTTTCAAAAATTCAAAAAACTGTTTTCAAAGAATTATAAAACACAATTATCTGAAAATATTTCTCTATTACTATATAAGGCAGTTATCTCAAAACAGAAAATAACTCCACAAATTATATTTTAGTTGAATTTTTATATGTTTTCATTTTGAACTCCATTCACTACTATAATTTTAATCAGGCCACATGTTAGCAATATCTTTCTTTATCAACATTATCTTCAATTGCTTTTCATTAGAAATAACTGAGCCAAGATAACTAAAATGTAGCATTGAAACAAATTTAGGGATTTGCAAAGTTTCAATACCGCAAAGGTTAGTTGTATTTTTGCGGGTAAATAAGCAAATATTTATAATTCAGAAGAACTTATGTACAATTAACCCATTTTTACATACAATTTTTGGAACTTAAATATATATAACACATCATATTGATTTAAGAATTCTTTCTATTTTGTAAATCCATATATAAAAAATAAACTGATTCATGGTTATCATCTGAAGGAAACTTTAAAATAACTCAGAAACTTGTTGGCTATTATCATGTAATTTGAGTGATGATATTCACTTGCTTCTTTCAGGAAGTTTCAAGCATTAAGATGTGAGAAGATGAGCACTACCATTCATCGTCAAACTGCACCTATACATACACACATATATACACATAGTTACATGGTAAACATGTATTGCACAACCGAGCATGGATTAAAGCGGTGTAAATTGTGTACGAGTCTTGCATGAAAGTTCGCCACTAACATAACAGAGCCTTAAATCCTGCTCTCCTAGTAATTTCACGGTTCTCAGACGATAATAACCACTTGGTTTCATTCCTTCAATTTTTCGCTTTCTCAAATTGCAAACCAAGCAGTTATCATTAATGATCTTGCAGAATCAAAGTGCCTTTCCTATAAATTAAATTGTCTCTTGGTTGAAGATGAAGTTGGTACTGAGATTTGCAGATGAAAGGACACTAATCCATTCCGGTTTTTAAAGCAATAACTGGCTTCAGAATCCACAGCTGCAATTAAGTTTTTGAATCAAATGACCATATATCTCAAGTGAAAGCATCAGCCGTCCCTTCTCGGACACCCAATAAAATTGGAGCTTGTATAGAGAATATTGACCAAAACTTGTATTAATAAAGGCGTCCTGTCAAACTAAGAAAAATGCCTACGTTGGAAATAGACCGAAGCCATCTTAACAGACTGTTAAAGATAAAAAAAAAAAAAAAAAAAAATTACACGTGTCTATTTTACACAAAAAAAATATTTTAATGTACTGCTGATGCTCTAACAAATTCCTTCATTTTTAGGGAAGGATATATTGTCGTTCTCCATTAAAATGAAGGCAGAAGGCCCACAAGTGTTAATGCGAAAATACTGCATATAAGAAAATCTACAACAATACTTTTAAAAAGAATTATTAATAATTGATCATTTAACTTGAGTACATTACATGAAAAAATCCAACAAGAAGATAAGAATTAATTAGAATATTATAAACAAGAGGAGGTATGAGTGAATCACTAGTGCTTCCCAGCAACATGATTGTTTCCCTCGCCAGGGCTCGGCCCAGAATCCTTAATTCCTCCGAGAGTTTTAGCATTAATAAACGCGTGTCCTTGACCAGGTGTTGGACCAGAGTCCTTTATCCCTCCGAGTGTTTGAGCATTGGTGAATGCATGTCCTTGACCGGGACTCGGACCAGAGACTTTAATTCCTCCATTTGTAAATTTGTGTCCTTGGCCGGGAGTCGGACCAGAGTCCTTAATTCCTCCAAGTATTTCATGGTTGATAAATTTGTGCCTTTCGCCGGGGCTCGAACTTGAACTCTTGATGGCACCTAGGGATAACCCGTCAACAAGGCCCTTAATACCTCCGCTAGCAGTGGTACGCGAGTTGAAGATGTTAAATGGACGAGCTTCAGTTGCACAGAAAATGAAACCAAGTATTAGAAAGAAAATGAAATTGAGTAGTACAAGACCTTTAGCCATGTGTGTGTGGGAGAGAAACAGAGACAGAGACGAAAGATAGTACAATTAAGTTGTGTTGCAGATGTGATATACAAAATGAAAGATCTGGTGCCCTATTTATATTGTTTGCGAGAGTGGTACATATTGTAGTAGGTTTGTTTAATTGTTTGACTAGAGAGATTAGGAAGAGAGCTAACTAGACTAGTGTACCATTCAAACAAACGTGAATGTAGACTAATGGAGGTTTCCGGAAAATATAGGAAGTAACAAGGTGGGTTCTCCTAAGAAAATCATGGCATGATGAAGGAAACTAGAGATTGCGAGTCTAAGTTGGATGGTGTGTTAGATGCAAGGGGGAAATTTAGGGGACTAAAGACCATGCAACGTTTGAATTCAAATGCTACCGTATATGGGAATTAGGTGCATGTAGACTAGCTAAATGAGTCCATCGGGGATTCCATGATTAGTCAACTGTCAACAAACAGAATTTCAAGATCCGTAGTAACGAATAACAGAAATGCACGTTGAACCCATGAATTTCATGGGCTTGGATTGAACGTGGGTTGGAAAGTCCGACGCATGGAACACAGTCAAAGCATCATGATGTACGTTATCTGTATATATATATTGTATTTTTTACTCTCTTAAATTCCATCCAATTTAGGAAAGGATGGTCTTGAAGGCACTAGGGCTAGGGGTGGCAATTCATGCAAAATCGTGTCGTATTGGCGTAGAGGTATTCAACTAAACAAATAAACTCAATCTATTTAATAATCGTGTCAAGAACTTTCAACATTAATTCAAACTGTTTATTAAACGTATTAACATGTTAACGCGTTTAATGATCTGTTTAATCTGTTTATCAAAACGAGACATTTTATATTTAATCAAACAAGAAATAGTAAAAAAATTGTCATAATTAACCCAAATACTCAACATAAGAAGAAAAATCATAAGTCGTAGTCAAAATTTATGTTAAAATACCATAACTATCCATAATAATTGTGTTTAAACAAGTAACATTTTAAATAGGTCATATTGACCATTATAACATGTTGACTTAAATGAGTCATAAATGGGTTACATGGGTTGAACACTTTAACTCTAACTCAACACGATTAAGTAAATGGGTTAATCGTGTCAACTTGTTTATGACCCGAATCCGTTTAAGGTCAACCCAAATCCGATTATCTAGTGTCGTGTTCAAGCCATGTTGGCATGTCGTGTCGTAATTTGCCACGCACCATCTCCAATGCTAAGAGCTATTTTCGCATGCCAAATCTATATTTTGACAGGTGCTACAGTGTCAAAATGCTGCATTTTAGCAATTCTGCTCCAATAGTGCATTTCATGCAAAATGCTATTTTTTGACACAACCATCATTCTTTTTCAATTACCATTCCCACCATTTATATTTGCATCAGTAATATTAATATTAGGCACATTCCAAGTTAAGTTGTAGAGAAAACTAAAAGTAAACCCACTTAAAAAGAAGCAAAAATCTAAAATATCTAGTCAAAAAAAAAAAAAAAAAAAATTATAATTTTTTTGCCAATATTTGTGAATTAATTTTTTTTTATATAATTTTTTTTACTTTTTCAGAAAGTTATATATATATATATTTTTTTAGGGCAAATCATTTCAGCCTCCATCTCTATTCTGGTTCTCAACTCTTAAATTGCCCCTCCCCCCTCCCCCCTTTCTTTCTCTCTAACTGCAAATTACAAAATAAACAAGAATCAGACGTTCAAAACCCATATTGCAACAGACAAGGAGAGAGATAAAGAGAAGAATCCATTCCCAACCATTTACCAAAAACAAATCCGTTCCCAACCAAGAAAAACCAAAGTCAGGCCAGCTTCGCAACCAAAGTCAGGCCAGCTTCGCAAGAGAGGGTTATTGAGGACATGAGAAGGAATGGCGACGTAGGATTGGAGGAGACGAAGATCTGATCTAAAGGCCAGGAACCGTCAAGATCGAGATCGAGGTCCATCAGTAACCCGCTTTTCTGTCATCGATTTTCTTCCTCTACTACAGATCGGATTATCCCGGAACTTTTCTCTCTCTATATTGCAACAGACAAGGAGAGAAAGAGAGATAGAGAGAGACGCGAGTGGGTGACGATGTGACTAGGGGTGTTCAAAAAATCCGAAAAATCGGACCGGATTGTACTGAATTGAGCGATTTGGGTTAGTTGTATAGCGATTTGGTCTAGTCATGGGCTCAAAATTATGGAACTGTAATTTTTTGGTCCGGTCCTGATTTAGGCTCGTGCTGGACCGAACCAGCTCAGACCGTTACTATATTATATAATATATATTTATATATATGTGTATCATACCCTGAACCCTAAATCAATTATAGTTCTCACGTGCTCCTTTTCTTTCTTTTTTTGTTCTTTAAATTCGTTATAAATTTCTTTTAAAAAAAGTCAAATTTCCCTTTTCAAATATATTTCAATTTTCTTTTTTTTCCTTTCAAATATATCTAAATTTTCTTTCCTTTTTTTTCTTCTTATATATATATATATATATATATATATATATATATATATATATATATATATATATATTTTGCGTATTATATCAATGTTAATAAAAAGAAAATCAATTGAGACCGGCAAACTGAACCGAACCAAACCGGTTTTTCATGGTTTGGTTTGGTTTGGTTCCATGAATATTATGGTTCGGTCTGGTTTCAAAAATACTGAAACCGTTATAAATGGTTTTGTCCCAAAATATTCATAATCCGGTCCAAACCGAATCATGTGCACCCCTAGATGTGATTCCATAGATTAAATAAAAGAAACGGTGTCGTATTAGGAAATGAAAGACTTGCCAAAAAAAAATTGACAGCTGCTATATGTGAGAAAAATTTGAGAATCTCAAAATTTGAAAGCACAAATAAGAGCCCATTGGAAAGGTATTTTTTTACCCAACTCTCATATTTTGAGTTTGAGAGGCCCAAATGAGAGAGCATTGGAGTTGCTCTAACTAGGGCCAAATTGTACACAAATAGCTAGGAAGATCAAGGGTTTAACTGAATCGCAATTTCAGGGACCATTTGCATTCCTATTTTCTGAAAGTAGCATTAGTTCAGGGTGGTTTTATAAATTTGGAATTTTCTAAGAATTTTAATTTCCATGAACGAAACTATGTCATTTTTTAGAATTATTTTTTAATAATAAGATTAAAATTAATAAAAATAACTCATTCAGAATATTATTTCTAAAAAATAAAATTTTATTTTATTTTTATATAAACAAAAGATAAAAAAATTATTAGATGCATCTACAAGAAAGTGAAAATACCTTGGTACAATTTAAAATATATATATATATTTTTAAAAAATAAAAAGGAAAAGAAAAGCTAAAATAAAAATCATTTTACAGAAAACTTAATTAAAATACAATAGGTGTTATCTACTCCACCTTTCAGTTATCGGATATATATGTTCTATTCCACCACCGACCAAATCATCCATCAACCAGCTAGTTATGTTTCCACTCATGCATGCTCCCTCCCTCTATATTAGGTTTGTTTGGTTCCACCTGACCTCGGGGATGCACCTAGCAGGGGCTGCTTTTAACAATAAATGATATGGGGTAATAGTGATTTTTATTTATTTTTTATAATTCCAATGGACGCAATTTTAAAATTTTATAAGTATATAATAATAATAAAAAAAAAATTTAGTTAGTGCATATACAATACATTAGGTTCGTGAGTGTCCGACCTATTCCACTTGGAATCTAGTAAGTATTAGCGTCTCATATTGCTATTTATGGCAACACTACTCACAAGGGTCATATGATACATCGTCGTAACTTAGATATCATCAATTATATTTCTTGAAAATATAATTTTTCAAGAAATAACTCACGTACTTTAAAATGATGAACAACTAGATAAGTATACTTAACCTTGTCTTCTTCTTCTTCTTCTTCTTTATTTTTTATTTTTTATTTTTTTCATAAGCAAATAAAGAGAAGAAAACAAAAGTAAAGAAATAAATGTGTTGCGTGCAAACATACAACACAAAAAGATGTACACCAAGTAGAGTTTTACAAAAGAATTATAAATAACTGTTTTTTTAGCTTAACAGTATATGAAAAAAAAATTCAACAACAACAAAAGAATTAAGAAATTTATAAATAAGTAAAATTAGGGACATATGGGTGAGGACATCACTGGTGCTTCCCAGCTACATTATTGTTTCCCTCGCCCAGAATTGTTAATTCTTCCAAGAGTTTTATTACGGTTATATGTGTGTCCCTTGTGAGGAGTTGGACCAGAGTCCTTAATCCCTCCGATCATTGGTGAATTTGTGTCTTTGGCCAGGAGACGGACTAAAGTATTTAATTCTTCTAAGTATTTGAGCATTAGTAGATGTGTATCCTTGGCCGGGACTCGGACCAGAGTCCTTAATCCCTCCATGGTTGTTGGTAAACTTGTGTCCTTCACCAGGGCTTGGACTTGAACTCTTGAAGGCACCTCGAGACTTGAACACTTGATGGTTGTTGGTAAACTTGTGTCCTGGGTAATATTTTAATAAAATTAATAAATATATTAAATTATATATTAAGTTACATTATATTAAATACTATTTAATAGAATGGTTTATTATATTTATTGATGAAATAATTATATTTAAATTCTCTATTTATGTTGCTATACTCGTTACTTTCTTTTACACTATAAATAGATTATATGTTTATCATTCTAAAGGAGCGAAGTTTGGATACGTATATCTAGTATGAGTGAGATTCTAAAGGAATAGGTTTTCATCTATCTATTATACTATTCCATTTATGTATATGTGTATACTGTACTTGAGAATATTTTACATATTGAGTTTATGAGCAACTAGACTTACATAGACTTGAACCAGGAGACGTCGTTGCTAGCTGATTGAGTTATATCTTGGAGCTGACTAGTTTCACCAATACCCACACGAAAGGGATGACTATTAACTTTAGGTCAATGTGTTTACACATGCCTCAACAATCAGGACAGCACTTTCTTACCTATTTTATTATTATCGTTTTACTTCTTAATTTATATTTTTGAG